GATTTTCTCATGCTACGAATAAAAAATTTCATTTTTCATTTTGACGTGGCAAAATGAGCAAAAATCAAAATGTAATATGAAAATCGGCAATGGAATTTCCAGGAATATATTCCATAGTCGACAATGGCAACTTTTCATTTTTCAAATTTAGAGTTCCAATATTACTATTTGAAAGAACAATAATAATTGTCGACTACCATTTCGGAAATAAATTCTCCAAGGTTTTCCTATGCAAATTTTACTTTTTCAATTTTATATTTAAAATTTTAAACTGAAATGTGGCGCAAATTCTGGTGGGTCCGCCATTTTTATTCGACTCGCACGCCACTCTACGTGGCTGACTAAAATATCGTCACCACTGGGACTTACTCGCACACAATGGTTGGCTAATTGGGTACACATTAGGATGAGAGGATTATCCCGACCCTTGTAATAGGCTGGCTCCCGACTACCTGAAGGTTGCCGGGCCCTGATGTAAATAACTGTTGAACCAAGGCTTACTTGGAATCATAAACAGGATTCAATCTATTGTCGAGTCTAGTTTGGAACCAATCTTTGACGAATATAGTACCAAGCCTCGTTTATAATAAAATTGGTATACAGGGCCGAGTCTTATATTAAAACTGATCTGAAGAAAAAAAGTAATTTATTTATTTTTACGTCATATATTTCTTTTAATAAAAAAACGAACATTTTTCTTAACATGGAAAATAATCTTAACAAAAGATTAGAATTCCCTCATACACTCAAAATCACAATGAATAGTATTGTTTTTCAAACTTCCAAACTCATTAACCATCAAATTTGCATTATTTGCTTTCGTAAAAGCCGGTTGCATTTTTTTAGTCGCGAGCAGCACGCCCTCCATCCCAATCACCTGCTCCAGATAGAAATTGGCTAACGTATTGAAGAATTTGCATGTCGTTGTGGGGATATAGCCATCAAAACCTCTGTAAAGAAAGAAATCAATTTAATGAATAGTTATAGGACGTATAAGTATGGGATAAAAAATAAGTAATAAGTGAAACTACCTTGAATACATCTATAGACTGTAGTTTTATTGAATGGGAGCTTCGCACTAGTCTTAGTTTTTCTTCCTGCTCCACTATATTTTTGTTGAACAGGTTTTGTCATCACAGCTGCGATCATTCTTCTGATGCATTGCTTAAAATCATTTCATTCTTGACTAATACCTCCAAAAATTGTTTTCTGCAATATAAAAAAAAAATATATTGAGTTGAAACCATTATTTATATTTAATTAATAAAGGAATTTAACTAATGGTAACTAACCAATGCATTCTCTCTTTCAATGGGGTCGTTTCACCCTCAATATTTTCACGGTCAGGATTCAGGGAGTCTTCAAAAGTTAAGAAGTCCTCTAACGTATTTGTAGGAATTTTCACACTCAAAACAGTTCTTGGTGAAATATCGTTCAAAGGGTCGGCATGATTCTTGTTGGCCAAGAACTCATTAAGTTTTGACATAGAAGCATTATAATCATAGAGAAAGCTCCTCTTAGCACTCTCAATTTTCTTCAGCATATTTTTTTCCAGAGATTCCAGTTTTGTTTCGAAAGACTCAGTTAATGCTGCAAATTAACGAGAACATTAATATCTTCCTTTTCTATTACGAATTTTTAAATACTTACTATTTTTTAAATACGAAATTATCGTTACAAATAAAAAAAATTACCTCAACAAGTGACATTTAGCTGACTCAGTGAAGATTCAATTTCTGCAATAACAGTGCATAGCTTAACCAAATCAGTCTCTTTCGGTTTTTCTAGAGAGCAATCCAAATGATGGTTTTCCAATAATAAGGTCAAATTTGTGATTTGTGGAAATTAATATTTTTTTCAAAGTAATTGCATTATTTGGGACCAATGTTAAAAAGAGGCATGTACCTGTTATCTTCTTCTGGTCGCAGTAACGTTTCCTGTTTTCTGCTTCCGAATTATCCGAATTTGTATCATAATTAGTATGATTGCTGTCCGAAATCGCACGATTTTTCTTCCGATAGATTGAAAGTTTTTCTCGAGCATAATTTGCTTTTACATCTTTTTTCATTATTTTTGTTTTTCTCCAATTATTGTTCATTTCTGCAGTACTGTCACTATCTAAACAGTGGAAAGCATTATGTTGCAATTTTAAATGTAAAAAAATGTAAAAATATTAATTATGCTGATCAACTAGAAATTATTCACCTGATTCTGAAGACGAAACAACGATATTTTTCGTGACATTAGGACGAACACTAGAGAGTAGATGTTCTTGCTGTTGGTCTCGATGTATTTGGCTTGAATCAATGGTTTCTTTTGTTTTTCTCCTCACGTTGCAAGCATCACCGGATTGATCTCATGGAGTAATTATTTTGATAGTGCTTTTTTAAATCGAACTATTAAAAAGTTTGACGAAGAAAAAAGGAAAAAATAAATGATCTAAAATAAAAATAAACGAGAAGTACCTTCATGTTGAATTTTTTAATGAATTTTTTACTTGGCTTTAAAATCAACACGTCATGAAAACAAATCTATTTCAACTATTTCAATCTCAAAGCATCAAAACATACCCCCAGTAGCTTCCTCTCTGTCATTTTCCTCTACAATCGAGCTGAAAGCATGTATGGATTGAGTCTTTAGTAGAAGAGCTCTAGCATCCTTCTTGGACATGGAATAAATTTCACTGCGTTTATCAGCATCAGATTCTGCGGACTCCAGATCTTTTGCTCGTTCGTACGAACGTTCCAGTCGGCGTAATCCTTGCTTATAGTTCTCTAAATATTAGCAGAAGAGACGATATTATTACTACCAGGATACTTTACGTGATTAATATAAAATAGTATTATAATTACCTGCTTTACATAAAATTTGGAAATCTGTGTATTTTTTCCAGTCATCGCGTGGTTGTGTGCACGTCCTAACCCACTTTCCCAGTTTTTTCCAATCTTTTTTGGGAGGAAAGTAACAATTTTTCACTCCGTCATTCGATTTTATCCATTCTGAAGGGATTAACTCCACTGACTTTTTACCGTTGAGATCCTCTTTGTCAAAATGTACAATGAGGTACTTGGTAAGAGTAGAAGACATTTTCTTTTCTGAATGATTTGAGGTTATCTAAACACGTGGACGGTAATTATTTATGGCGAGTAAAAAATATGTAATTTTTTGTAACGAGCATACTAAGATCGCGATAATTTTAGCTGGACATTTAGTAAACTTCATTATTGAGATTTGTAAAAGCCACATTAAAATTATCCTAAAATAATCAGATAATCGCAGAAAAATGTAGACTAATGTTCCTACTTTTAATGAAAATGTTAACGGCATATTATTAATTTGAGATGAATTATAGAATTACTGTAGATTGAATATTATTACTTCCTGTGGAATATGATTAGGGCTTCACTTCTTTTCACGTAATTCTAGACAACTTGCTGGAACAAAAAAGACAATGACGACGCTAGACAATAACCGCCATTTTGAAAAATTCACGTCACGTGATCTGCGATTTTGGGACCCCCGTATTGTAACAAAATAATAAGCATACCTACCCACAATAATTGATGCAATTATTATTCTTTTAAAATACTCTTTTTTCTTGTTGTAAATTACCAAACGCAACGAAGCTATTCTTGATATGTTGGAAGTTTGAGCATAAATGACTACTGCCTGTTCCCCTCCGCTTTTGCTTTTCAGCGGCCAGTACCCCCACTCCCGCCTTCGTTCCTCCCCTCTGGCGATTACATTAGCACCCAAATATCAGGCACACACAGACGCACACGTCCACACATACACACAGAGATATGGGATTAAATTCTTTTTAAACTCTTTAAGAATAAACATTCGAAATCAAGATTTATTATGAACGTTAATTTCAATTTAACTATGTAAAAGTGGTAACGCATAATCGTGTCCTTGACTTGTCAGAAAAACACACTTATTTTTTATTAAATTCAGAGAAAAATTATGCAAATCACTACCAAAGCCTTCAACATGTACAGTACCAATTTCAATTGAAGAACATGGAGTGGAAAAAAAACTTGATTGACGTAACGCGTAGTGACCTTGAATTTCAATATCTTCTGCTGTTTTTATATCGCCTTCCATCACTTCCTTCACTAAGATTTGTTTGATTTGAAAGACTTTACCATTGTGTAATTGTACAGTATTATTAGGCGGTTTACAGCACAGTGTCATTTCATTATATTTCACTGACCGTACGCACACCATTCTTTCACCTCTCACAGTGCACATTTGAAAATTCTCTAATACACAATTACTGATAATTGATTTCTTATTTATCTTCATTTTCGCCGATTGATCCTGGGCAGATATTTTTTTTACTATTTGAGCCAGAGGTTTAGCATGTCCTGTAATCAAGCTTTTAAATTTACCTATATAGTTTTCTCCCCAGAAAGCTGTATATTCACTCAATGGTTTTTTAAAATATCTCACATCGTCTGCTAAGTGAATTAGACTATGAAATTGCATGATTTGCGATTCAGACCCATAAAAACTAGGCATAGTGGTGAAAAATTTTCTAAGTAACATATCTGCATAGTCTACATGTATCACAGCCAATTCACGACTGCATAATATTCGAGCGGCTACGTGTAAATGAAGAAAATGGACATATTCGCTTTCTGGTAGAACCGATTTTAAAACTATTGGACCAATGTACAATAAAAAGAAAAAACATTGAGTTGCCTTCCAACGTGAGTGCTGATCAATGTTGAATTGTTTCCGCTGAAATTCCTGTGGTACATATGGAGATACTGCTTTCAATAGGTCTTGAAAAGTTTTAACTTTCTGCAATGATATTCGATACTTGCTGTCTCGATTGATCCATTGAGAAAGTAATCTCTTCACAATATTCAGGAACAAATGCATTACTTCTAAGGGCACATCTCGTATAGGGTCAAACCCTGATATTTCCAGCAAAGGCGATTTACAATCACTATGTTGATGCTCCTTTTCACCAGAAATAAAAGTTGCCTGAGTACGCTCCCGATAATTTATTTCTGGGTATACACGTCTTCTGTTGATAGTTACTCCAGGAACTGTGCATCGCTCGCATGCATAGAAACCTGTGGGTCCTGTAATGCATTTGATGTAAGCACGTGCTGGACCATCAGCAATTAGCCCTTCAATTTTGAATGAATAATTTTTCCCATTTATGATTACACCATTATTCATTAATTCTCTGGATTCTGTAACAAAGTCACGCATGAAATCTGTTATAGACTTTGGTTTCGAATCTCCGTAGTATAAAGTTACTACAAAGGGCTGACATGTATAAGCCGCATGATACACATTCATTAAAATCGGCCACAACTGTCCATTCGAGTTTACGTAAGGAGTCATTCCATCAATATGAATGAAGACACATATTTCATTTTCTTTGTAGATATCAGTATTGATGCGTTTCTCTAAACCATTTTTTATCCGTAGATACAGGTACTGACCGATGGAATCATTCTTTGTTGTAAGCACTTCACCCCGGATGGAGTGCTTCAATCCAAGTAGTGTATTTGCAGTCAATGGTAAATTTGTGTGTCCTTCACTTCGAAGAATCTTTAGTAGTGCTGGTACTACGCACAAATCCATGTTTGCAATATGATCGATAACCCAATTTTTAATTTTCGTCCTCATTCCATCTTCCAAAAACTTATTAGCTTGAATGGCATCAGGTTGAGGGCTTCCATGATTAGATCGATGTGAAATAGAGCTACTTATGTCAGAAGAACAGGACTCACTATCAAAAGAGTTTAACTTATCTTCATCGGCAGATTGATTTAAAGTAATGCTTTGTTTATTATCTCCAACGGAATTATTTTCATTGGCACTTTCACTGTCACTTTCAAAAACTTCATTCTGTGTTAGAACCGTATCGGGTTCATTCGTGAGAATATGTTCTGCAACAATACCATCACGCGTACCCCCACAATCAGTCGTTACCTCAACTAATTCACAAGAGTCATTAACTTTTTGTAAAAAAATTTTCTTTCACTCGTATACCCTTTCGGGTTTTTACGATTTGTTCCCTTCCCACCCCCCAACCTCCTGTACCGCATTTGCTGAAAGGGAGGGAAAACCTCATCTGAGGGAAAAACCTGCCCTAGTACAGTCGTCCTTTTGACAGGACTACCGCTCGGCAGTGAAACCGTGAGATCAGAGCGCTATATATTTTTGACCGCTGGTGCCCGTGATCGAACCCGGATCCTTGGCATGCTAGTCCAGCACTCTAACCGCACGGCCACTACCGTCGGTTCATTAACTTTTTGTAATTTCCGTGATTTCTTTTTGCGAAAAGACGCATTTTTACGTAAATTTACATGCATTGCAAATTAAAATTATTAGTAAAACGCGTTGGTGTATGCAGATTTGAGGTTAAGCCACTTCACCCATGTAATTTTGAAAAAAGAGTCATGGTATATACTACTCTAATATG